CGGGACTTCTAAGGGGTAGAAGACTTCTTCCCATTAAAAAAAAGTCCAGCGACCTTCTTATTGCAAGTAATCTTTTCAATCAAAGCGCCACTTTATAAGGATCAATTTTATGGGTTTAATGTCCGGAGATAGATAGAAAAATAAACAACAGCTGATTTCGAAGTAAAGTCGATTTTAAAACTAACGTATGGTCCCTGTCGTCATTTTCCTCTCTGCGATGTCTACCATAATCTTCATAGCCATCTTCACCAGCGGCGTGACCTTCCCCTTCCTCTGGTTCACCTTCACCTTCCTCCGCATCTTGAGAAGCTTCAGCGTCTTCTTCAACATCCTCACCAAAAATGTTTACCATCAAGCTGCCGAGCTGGAAACGGCCAACAAAGAATATAAGTTCTGTTCCACAATAAAACTAGTGCACTAGTAAGTTGAAACGTTATATCCTAATTTTCGTCATTAGCATGTCAAACAACCTCAATATGGAGATCACTGTTGTCTGCATATCGTAATCCTAAAGTATGACCTAACCGCACGATGAACTTGGTTTTCGAGATCAGCATGTCAGACTAACCCCGATCTCATGAGCGAAGTTTGAGCATGATCAAAGATTATGGAACTTTAGGTCCGACAAAGTGGAACAGCGTCAAACTATGCCTAAGCAAAAAATCGAAGCTTACCTTCTTTTTTCGTTGCTCTTCATCCATGTCATCGTCCGAGTCATCGGAGTCGAGCAAGTTTCTCCTGTACATTAGAAATAATCAATCTTGAAAAAATCTGGAAAGCTGAGTTAAGGCTTACTTGGAACCCATTTCATCCTCATCGCTGTCATCGGAATTCACAATGCGTTTCCGTTTCCGCACTAAATTCTCGTCATCATCTGAAAACTAACTTCTGAAATTAGTTAAATGCGAGTTCAAACAAACGATACCATCTTCATCATCAGAACTTGCAACTCTTTTCTTTTTGGGTGAGTGAATGTCATCATCGTCGTCATCATTAGAGCCTGTCTTCGTTTCAGCATTGCTAAATATAAGGTCA